TCTCCTTCCCCCCCCCCCCCGAACCCCATTTGTTCCATTGTATCCCTCTCCTACTACCCTGATCCCTCTCATCCCCCCCCCAAACCCCATTTGTTCCATTGTATCCTTCTCCTACTACCTTGACCCCTCTCCCACTAAACCCCACTTGTTTCATTGTACCCCTCTCCTACTATCCTGGCCCTTCTCCTTCCTCTGAACCCCAATTGTTCTATTTTACTCCTACTGTACTCTTTTTCTACTTTTCAGATTGCACTCTTGCCACTGCACCCCTATTGCCCCAATGTACCCCTTACCTACAATCCAGACCCTTCTCCTTCCACAAATCCCAAACTATACCCCTCTCCTACTATCTAGACCACTCTCCTTCAGATGAGCCCCTTTTCTTGTTTCCCCCCTCCTTCTACCCGGAGACACATATTTCTATCCCGTCATCTCATCTGCTCTTCTTACTTTTACATATCGGCCATCGCTTACCACACTTCTTCCACCCCTTTGTTTCCCGTCTCCATGTTCCTCACCCCTCATACCTTCCTCTCTCTTTCTGCTCTCTCCTCTCACTTCTCCACCTCTCCCCAGCCAGGTTATGGTCTGATATGTGTCTTGTTCCCTTCTCCATGTTCCTCCCCCCCCCCCCCCCCCTCCATACTTTCCATTCTCTGCTCTCACTTCTCCATCTCTCTGCAGTCAGGTTATGGTCTGATTTGTGTCTTGTTTCTGGATCTCAGACCCTTCTCCATGTCCCCCCCCCCATACTTTCCATTCTCTGCTCTCACTTCTCCATCTCTCTGCAGTCAGGTTATGGTCTGATTTGTGTCTTGTTTTCTGGATCTCAGACCCTTCTCCATGTTCCTCCCCCCCTCCATACTTTCCATTCTCTCCTCTCACTTCTCCATCTCTCTGCAGTCAGGTTATGGTCTGATTTTCATCTTCTCTTTGTTTCTATATCTCAGCACGCTGGCCCTTCTCGTTCTGGCGCTGGCCCTTCTCGTTCTGGCGCTGGCCCTTCTCGTTCTGGCCCTTCTCGTTCTGGCGCTGGCCCTTCTCGATCTGGAACTGGCCCTTCTCGTTCTGGCGCTGGCCCTTCTCGTTCTGGCGCTGGCCCCTTCTCGATCTGGAACTGGCCCTTCTTGTTCTGGCCCTTCTCGTTCTGGCGCTGGCCCTTCTCGTTCTGGCCCTTCTCGTTCTGGCGCTGGCCCTTCTCGTTCTGGCTCTGTCTGCAGTCATTGTGTCGGTGTTCCTTGTGTCTCAGTCCCGTGCCTCCGTTTGATGACTTTGCTATACATTGTATCTCATTATGAACCTAGTAATGGTTGATGTCTAGTAATAGGCCTCTGTTTATGTCTAGTAATAGGCCTCTGTTTATGTCTAGTAATAGGCCTCTGTTTATGTCTAGTAATAGGCCTCTGTTTATGTCTAGTAATAGGCCTCTGTTTATGTCTAGTAATAGGCCTCTGTTTATGTCTAGTAATGCATTGAGTGGTGGTTTGTTGAGGCCTTCATGCAGAGAATCCCAATCTCGGTTCCTGCACTGGCAGGTCCTCTTTCCCTGGAGTCACCAGGCCTTAGGTTGTCAGGAAGTCACATATCCCCATAGTAACATCATATCTCTGTCTGCCAGGCCTCATGTCTTCTTTTCCTGCCCCTTCCAGCTGCACCATCACTGCCATTACTAGCACTTCCTGAGATGTCACCACCACCATGGCACACAATGTCCAACCATGAGTTCTTCATAGGTGCCTGAGCTTCTACATGTTAGCCAAGGTGATCAGCGATGCATGAGAAGGCTCTTCTCTGTCCTCCTGACCACCTGGCCTTCAACTGCCTCTTTTTATTTTAGTTTGGCCCAACTACATGTCTCCAGAAGGGCCAATCCACCCATAATTGAAATTTCTATTCTGGGTGAAGGCAGGTCAGCTGATTCACTTCCCAACTTCTAATGCCTATCTGGTGCTCCAATGGTGAGATTTGTCCCTCTGCTGCACCTATTAAAGGGCCTCTGCCTCTGTTGGATTTAGTTAAGTTAGCATTATGGAGAATGCAACAGGAGGAGTGAGACTCTTGGGCAAAGGTTTACACCCAAGATCAGCCCCCTTCCTAGAGAACCTTTCACATGAACCCCTTAATTTATTAACCCGAAGATCAGTTCCCAGCAGGAGAACCTAGACTGAACCCCTGGTGGAGTTAAAATTGGACCCATGTAATCCTTATGGGTGGGTAGATGTAAGTAGACATGCGTCTGCCTATAGTGGCCTGAATCCAGTCAGGTCAGTAAAGTGGACCCGTGTAATCCTCATGGGTGGCCAGATGTATGTAGACATGCATCTGTCTATAGTGGCCTGCATCCAGTCAGATCAGTAAAGTGGACCCATGTAATCCTTATGGGTGGCCGGAGGTAGGTAGACATGCGTCTGTCTATATTTGCCTACATCCAGTCAGGTCAGTAAAGTGGACCCATGTAATCCTTCTGGGTGGCTGGAAGTAGACATGGGTCTGTCCATGTTGGCCTGCACCCAGTCAGGTCAGTAAAGTGGACCCATGTAATCCTTATGGGTGGCCGGAGGTAGGTAGACATGCGTCTGTCTATATTTGCCTACATCCAGTCAGGACAGTAAAGTGGACCCATGTAATCCTTATGGGTGGCTGGAAGTAGACATGCGTCTGTCT